TCTATATATGGATAACGGATTGTGGTCTATATATGGATAACGGATTGTGTGTCTATATATGGATAATGGATGGTGGTCTATATATATGAATAGTGATTGCACATACATATACAATACCAGTAATACGATTGTTTCATTCGAAGAGTGATACATGAACAGTCACAACAGTGACATGGGTACTAGGAATACAAAACCAGGCAGTGAAGAAAACTCCACTTTGGACTGTGGAATGCTTTCAGTACAATGTTTGAATTCCAATTTAGATTAGTTACCCCTAAGTATTTAGAAATCTTTTGAAAATGGCAATGTAGATGTCACAGAACATCAACTCAGTAAGTCAACGAATGACAAGAGAGACTGTTGAATGCATGACGATTTAGGGGTCACAGTTCCAATAAATGTAATTTTTGAAGGACCTCAGTCTCAGTAGGCTGACAGCAATGGTAGATAATAGGTAGATATAATTAAAGAAGTCCTGGACCATTACATACTACCATCACCACAACTACTACTAATAAACAATATTTGCTTTTCTGAATGCGCATCTCTAATATAAAGTTTTGTGGAACCAAATTCAGCAGCTGCAAGCGGCAATGGCAAGCATGAAGTTACCTGATACTACTTCTATACTCTCGTTGCCATAGCAACTACTATTAATATTTGTTCTACAGGTGTATAGAAGCCAATACATTTTGTGCACAAACAGTTTTGTATTGGTGGTATTATACAACACCAAATTTTATAGTAGGGCAGCAATTGCAAGCCTAAAGCTATCTGACACTAACAATATTACTTTCATCGTGGATATACTACTACTCTAAAATCTGTAATAGAAGCCGCATCACTATTTGAAGCCATACTTATTCTTTTTCAAGTTTCTGAATAATTGAGAACCAAAAATTCACCATTTTTCATGTTTGTATGCAAATAATAAAAGCTGTATCCTCTATATTGTATTTTATCATTTCAATAAAAGTCACGGCTTTGAATACAGATTTGACAGTAGTATTGGTATTACAACTACTATACGTGTACAATATTTGCTCTAGTAGAGATGCATATACACTTTTTTTTCTCATTTTTTAAAATAATGCATATACATTGTAAAGAAGCCAAAACATTTTGGGGTTCTTTTTAGGTATACTCATTGACTATAAACTATGGGGTCTATCAGACACGTAACTGCAATTTGTAATACAGCTTGGTCTTGCACTTCTAATAGAGCAAATACTGTACACACTACGAACAAAATCCAAATTCCATGCAATGCATAACATGCATATGATATTTATTTTAGCTGACATGCAAACAACAACAAACAAACAAACAGGAGAATACATGTAAAAAAATTACAAATGAATGAACAGCTGAGATGAAAGTACATGAAATTGAAATACATATAGCTACATTTTACACTGTCAGACAACTCCACTGAGTGCAATGGTATAAACAATGGCAGGTTCTCTCCCATAATGCATTGTGTATATGTGCAGTAACACACTCAGTAGAGACAAATTTGAATTTGGCTTCAATGTAATGTGGTGGGAAGCACAGTGTAGAATAGCACAGCTTTTTGATGTCACTACAAATAGTGGTAATACAACGTTTTAACAGCTAAACACAACAACTAAAACCTGAGGGGTCATCACCTGCATATACATAGGAATTGAGTCCCAAA